TTTCAGGATCAGTCAAAAGTCTAATTCCTGCTAGATGAATACCAAAGTCTACTGCCTACCAGGACACTACAGAAGTCTGCTGCCTATCAGTACAATACCAAAGGCTACTGCCTATCAGTACAATACCATTGTCTACTGTCTATCAGGACAATACCAAAGTCTACTGCCAATCAATACAATACCAAAGTCTACTGCGAAATACTTGCCACATTCACATCTAAACATTGTTGGGTCCATTTGATGTCAGTCAATGTCAGATTTCATTGAATCCCTGCCATGAAACTTTCACTGGGTATTTCTTGTCAGGACAATGATTAAGTCCACTTCCTGAGAGGAGAACATCAGTCTCCTTTCAGGATCAGTCAAAAGTCTAATTCCTGCTAGATGAATACCAAAGTCTACTGCCTATGATGTCAGTCAATGTCACATTTCAATCTGAACATTGCTGGAGCCATTTGATGTCAGTCAATGTCGGATTTCATTGAATTCCTGCCATGAATCTTTCACTGGGTATTTCTTGTCAGTACAATGATTAAGTCCACTTCCTGAGAGGAGAACATCAGTCTCCTTTCAGGATCAGTCAAAAGTCTAATTCCTGCTAGATGAATACCAAAGTCTACTGCCTATGATGTCAGTCAATGTCACATTGCAATCTAAACATTGCTGGGGCCATTTGATGTGAGTCAATGTCACATTCCAATCTAAACAGTGCTGGGGCCATTTGATGTCAGTCAATGTCGGATTTCATTGAATTCCTGCCATGAAACTTTCACTGGGTATTTCTTGTCAGTACAATGATTAAGTCCACTTCCTGAGAGGAGAACATCAGTCTCCTTTCAGGATCAGTCAAAAGTCTAATTCCTGCTAGATGAATACCAAAGTCTACTGCCTATCGGTACAATACCAAAGTCTACTGGGACTATCAGTACAATACCAAAGCCTACTGCCTATCAGGACAATATCAAAGTCTAGTGCCTATCAGTACAATACCAAAGTCTACTGTGCCTATCAGTACAATACCAAAGTCTACTGTCTATCAGTACAATACCAAAGTCTACTGTACATCTAAACATTGGTGGGTCCATTTGATGTCAGTCAATGTCACACTCCAATCTAAACATTGCTGGGGCCATTTGATGTCAGTCAATGTCAGATTTCATTGAATTCCTGCCATGAAACTTTCACTGGGTATTTCTTGTCAGGACAATGATTAAGTCCACTTCCTGAGAGGAGAACATCAGTCTCCTTTCAGGATCAGTCAAAAGTCTAATTCCTGCTAGATGAATACCAAAGTCTACTGCCTATCAGGACAATATCAAAGTCTACTGTCTATCAGGATGATACCAAAGTCTACTGCCTATCAGTACGATACCAAAGTCTACTGTCTATCAGGACAATACCAAAGTCTACTGCCAATCAATACAATACCAAAGTCTACTGCCTATCAGTACAATACCAAAGTCCACTGCCTATCAGTACAATACCAAAGTCTACTGCCTATCAGTACAATACCATTGTCTACTGTCTATCAGGACAATACCAAAGTCTACTGTCTATCAGGACAATATCAAAGTCTACTGTGCCTATCAGGACGATACCAAAGTCTACTGTCTATCAGGACGATACCAAAGTCTACTGTCTATCAGTACAATACCAAAGTCTACTGTCTATCAGGACAATATCAAAGTCTACTGCCTATCAGTACAATACCAAAGTCTACTGTGCCTATCAGGACGCTACCAAAGTCTACTGTCTATCAGGACGATACCAAAGTCTACTGCCTATCAGGACGATACCAAAGTCTACTGTCTATCAGTACAATACCAAAGTCTACTGCCTATCAGTACAATACCAAAGGCTACTGTCTATCAGTACAATACCAAAGTCTACTGTGACTATCAGTACAATACCAAAGTCTACTGCCTATCAGTACAATACCAAAGTCTACTGCCTATCAGGACGATACCAAAGTCTACTGCCTATCAGTACAATACCAAAGTCTACTGCCTATCAGAACAATACCAAAGTCTACTGCCTATCAGGACACTACCGAAGTCTACTGCCTATCAGTACAATACCAAAGTCTACTGCCTATCAGGACGATACCAAAGTCTACTGCCTATCAGTACAATACCAAAGTCTACTGCCTATCAGGACAATACCAAAGGCTACTGCCTATCAGAACAACCTATTGTTACTACAAAATAATGTTGCAGTCCACTTCCTGTAAGGAAAATATCGTTGCTATCTTTAAGGCAAGTGTCAAAGTCCACTTTTAACATTGAAAGTCAGTCTGTTTGGGGTAAGGAGAATATAATGTCAAAGTCTATTTGCTGTAAAGAGAATATCATGTGACAGTCTATTTGCTGTAAAGAGATGTCACAGTCATATATGCTGTAAAGAGATGTCACAGTCATATATGCTGTAAAGAGATGTCACAGTCTATCTGCTGTAAAGAGATGTCACAGTCTATCTGCTGTAAAGAGATGTGACAGTCTATCTGATGTAAAGAGATGTCAAAGTATATATGCTGTAAAGAGATGTCACAGTATATCTGCTGTAAAGAGATGTCACAGTCTATCTGCTGAAAAGAGATGTCACAGTCTATCTGCTGTAAAGAGATGTCACAGTCTATCTGCTGTAAAGAGATGTCACAGTCTAACCTAACTGCTGTAAAGAGATGTCACAGTCTATCTGCTGTAAAGAGATGTCACAGTATATCTGCTGTAAAGAGATGTTAAAGTCTATTTGCTGTAAAGAGATGTCACAGTCTATCTGCTGTAAAGAGATGTTAAAGTCTATTTGCTGTAAAGAGATGTTAAAGTCTATTTGCTGTAAAGAGATGTTAAAGTCTATTTGCTGTCAAGAGATGTCACAGTCTATCTGCTGTAAAGAGAATGTCACAGTCCACTCCCTACCTGTTAAATACAATGTGTTACGTAACTTTAACAAAGACCTTGATTTGAAAACTTGTAATTAATTCTGTTTGATTTGGTACTGGGGGATGTAATATCACAGCAATGAATGCCACAAGTTTACTGCCAAGCGTGAGGTTACTGCCTTGTTATACAGTTACATAGTAAGTACTAATACATCAGCACTCTGTCAGAAGCTACACAGGTACTATACCGGCTTCAGTTTTTTGAGAACCTGTAGCTGAGATTTTTCCTGAACTAACAACACAGAATCCTAAAGGAATGAATATAACAGATCATATGTCTATGCTGTTTATATAAGTTATCATAAAAGCACAATCGTTGTAGAACCATAATACAATAATCTGTATATAACTATATGGAGACATTCTATGTATTATTATACGAGGGCCATTCAATCAATTCTGTCACCACACAGCTCCCATACCAACAGGCAATACAATAGTTTAGCGCCTTGGCAGACTGCAAAAGCATTTAATGAACAATGCATGTGCAAAATGTTGACATCAACTGATAATAATTGTTATTCACTGTTGAATGGTATGCACTCGAGACTAGTGGCTACTTTTCAATGCTAAAATGAAGGTTGAGACTAAATCTGCAATACGCTCCTATATTAAAGAACGGTGCTTTACAGATACAGCCAACACAAATACAGGCCGAGTTGTGCAGCATATAGATTGAGAACTGCTTTCTAGGTTGGTGAAGAATTCAAAAATGGTAAAGTAAACAGGGGCTATACCCTTTGTTTATAAAAAATACCGAGTTCCTTGCCAAATATAATTGGAATTACCTGAGCCATTTAGGACAAGAAGTGTTTTAAATAACAAGTTGATGGATGGACAGACGGTGACCATGTGAGCTAAAAACTTAGAAAATTGAAATTAGAGTCGGGGTATGATAACCAATTTAGTTTCAATTAGATTTAGATACATGCTAGGGAGTGCTTAAATATGTTACATACCAGATTATCATTAAAATTTGACAAGAATAGTAAACACAAAAGTTTAAAGCATATCATTTAAACAGTTCATTCATTTTTGCATCAAACCAGAGATAATTGCAATAGAATTTATTTTCCGAAGCACTTTTCCAACAGACCACGATTGCAAAACAAAACATCCAACATGGGTACTATAGTGAAAAGCCTGTCAAATTAGTAGCCAAATGTTTTTGCTTTAGATTTTTTCTGCTGCAATAGAGATTAACATCAATGTGAAATACTAAAAACAAATTCTGTTGCAATTATATCCATGCTGGTCAATTGACAGAACTGAAACAAGGAATAGAAAGTATGACCAAGATTTGAAGGATCCCCAAACCACTGTCAAAATGTGTACTATGCATTACACGGCCAGACCCAGATACGAACCATAGACCTCTCATTGTTATATACTATGACCAAGTGTCAGCTACCTGGTCAAAGGTTGTACTCTGGCCCACTGACCAAGTGTCAGCTACCTGGCCAAAGGTTGTACTCTGGCCCACTAACCAAGTGTCAGCTACCTGGTCAAAGGTTGTACTCTGGCCCACTGACCAAGTGTCAGCTATGTGGTCAAAGGTTGTACTCTGGCCTACTGACCAAGTGTCAGCTTCCTGGTCAAAGGTTGTACTCTGGCCTACTGACCAAGTGTCAGCTACCTGGTCAAAGGTTGTACTCTGGCCCTGTGATGCTACATTTATATCCAAAACAAATCTCAAAAATGTTGCCTACAGTGGGAAAGGAATCTTTAAGGTCATACTGAGGTGTAAACTACATAACAGTTCCAACTAGTGTCACTAAAGAACTCAAAATAGTTATAAAACAATACATAAACAGGCAAAAATAACAAAAATTATACCATATTTGACTATATTGATTGATTTTTTTTGTGTAGTATCGTTAACATTGAATACTTGTAGTATCGTTAACATTGAATATTTTTTTGTAGTATCGTTAATATTGAATACTTGTGGTGTTGTTAATAGCAACAAATATGGTACGTTCTAAACTTTCAACTAAAATATAAGAATAGAAATAATAATAAAGGAAATAAAAGGTGCATGACAATACTGTTATATGACCTTGTCTGAGTTAGAGGCTGGGGGGTCCCCAGGCTTGGCTCGCACAGTGCCGTGGCCTCCGTGGGTGACCTGTTGAAACGATTTAGTACTGACATACACTCCTCAAAGTAAGTCCCTAAAAATTCTGTTGTCCTGTTTTCTGTTACAGTACACAGTTGTTAAATTTCTGTCTTAAATATTTAACTTGAACCAAATGGAACTTAGTTTAACTGAATGTGACCAAAATAGGCAAAACATAATAGTCACTAAATAACATTTTGGTTAACATTCATACATGATATTTTTTTAGAGAATTTTGAGTACTTCTACTTAAATAAAATACCATAGAGGGGGTCCACACTACTACATCAAACACAAACTGGGTTCTATGATGATAGTAGTAAACTGGAAATGGCCTTGATCAACTTATATATATGTTCATCAACAGATTTAGAAATACAAAACTGATTCTTCATTTAATGACCACCAACACAGCTTTACAAAAAGAGACTGGCACATTATGCAAATCATTGGACAGATTCTTTACTGTGGAGGTGGAACACTATTTCTGTTCTGCATTATATGTAAAATGCTACTCGACAAATGTCGACTGAAATGCCTTACCTGACTGCCAGTGGCTCCATCAATGGAGGACGTGTTGATCCCGGTCTTAGCTCCAGCCACACTGCCACCATGATGCTTGTCTTTACCCTTCACATCTGAAACAGTGCTAGTCTTACGATTGGACACGACGGAGTGAGCCTGTGAGACGGCCGCTGTGCTGGCTGTGGGTGGAGTATAGGTCACAAACACGAGGTTAGGACAGGTGAACCAAGCAATGCAAGCAGGTGCCAACACATACACACTATTGGTTACTAGTATATAAAGTGTTCTAAGTGACTACAATTATGAAACATTTACCTAAGTCATTTACCTAATTACAAATCACTACCTAAGTCATTTACCTAATTACAAATCACTACCTAAGTCATTTACCTAATTACAAATCACCACCTTAGTCATTTACCTAATTACATATACCTACTTAAAGTCATTTACCTAATAACAAATCACTACCTAGGTCATTGAACTAATTACAGATCACTACCTAGGTCACTGACCTATTTACATATTATACATCACATTGACCTATTTACATATCACTACCTAAGTCATTGACCTATTTACATATTATACATCACATTGACCTATTCATGTATAGTCCAAGATATTTACCTTTGCATATTATTTTAAATCATAGTTCAGACAGATTTAGCTGGATGTAATTCCTGGACTTCTCCGTGAGTGTTCCAGAAGTTTATGTCTGTTCTACAAGGTGTAACTTCAAGTTGATCCAAATGTATTATACCAGTTTTTTACTGTTATTTTTAGAATTTGAAAATATTTTCAATGTCTGCTGAATGTTTTTTCCATTTCAGTATCACCCACACAAACAGAGTTTGAAACGATTTCAAACAATGCCTCAGACGGATTTCTGAATTGATTTTTTTTTTCTATTCAATCATATTTTACATATATTTTCCACTTAGATATTCTAATACCAATGTAACCTTTTATAAGATGCTTGCTCAATAGCCTAGGTTTGCCGTATTTTGTCTATAGATAAATAAAACCTTGTACACTTCTCTAGATTTCTGTAGCTAGGAAGTATTAACACTTGAGTATATCTATGCGGCTTACACAGCAAAATAAGACTGAGGCATACAAATAAATATCACTACTCTAACCTATCTACAATCCAGGTCCATCACTGATCAGCTTTTAAATTCACATTCTGGAACTTGAGGTTGAATCATAGCCAAATGGATTGTGTGTGAAGATGAAATGTGAAATTGGTGACAATATTATGGTTATAAGCAGGATGAATACTAGGGCAGTTGTATAGTACATGTACAGGTAGCCTGGATGTCTATGGTACCTTTATATGTTGTTCTTTAAGGTTGCATCCATTGTTATCACAATTCAGGTCAATTACGGTTTGAAAATTAATAGTTTTGTTCTGTTATCTTTATAACAGGAAACAAATGTATTGATTTTTATTACATAAATTGGAAATTAATAGCAAGATGCCTATGGCCTCATAGCTCAACAGGCAATATAAAGTGTTATTTTTAGCTTTGTTCAATACTTAAATCCAAGTTAGCAGTGATTTAAATCATTACATTAATTCTGCCATACTTTTCTGAGAGACCATTATGATGGTTTAAGGGATTTGGGTTTTGTGCAGCACAATTAACATTTATATTTATTGTCTCAAATAAAACAAGCATGCTCTTTTGTTTGAGCTAAGTGAGCTAAAGACATGACTGGAATCCATTAAGGTGTTAAGAAGACACAACGAGAGATCCCGAGGGATCTTGGTGCCCGCCATAGAAGCATTGTCATAAATATCAGATACCACTGTGTTCACTCATATTACAACACACAACCTAGAAACTAACAGACATTATTATCCAACAAATAACAAATATCATATAATTTTTGTACCTCATACATGACAAACCTAGTGTTATAGCCTTACTTTTTCTGATTTGACATATAGCCTTACTTTTTCTGATTTGACATACAGCCTTACTTTTTCGGATTTGACATATAGCCTTACTTTTTCGAATTTGACATATAGCCTTACTTTTTCGGATTTGACATAGCCTTACTTTTACTTTTTCTGATTTGTCATAGCCTTACTTTAAAATAACACAAAATCTTGCCCTCATCATAAAGATTAAAACATACCTGTCATGAAGAGTAAAACAGAATTTCATCATTCAATGGCCAATAATCCAAATGTCCTGGTGGGTATATAGTACAATAGATACTGAAATTATCTTTGTTTTTGTTGGAAAGAAAGACAAATTTAACAATGCCACATTGACAGTTGGTGTAGACTTACTGGTGCCCTGTGTGTGTGCAGTGACTGCCTCCACACTCAGACCTCCTCCTGGCTTTTTCTCCAGCTCCTCCCCCTCCATAAGCTTCAGCTCTTCTGCCCTCTTACGTGCAGCTTCCTGACACATCTCACGGGCACGCATGCCTGACTTTGTTCCTGTGGAGATGGCATCCAGGACTACCTGGTCTATTGTCAGTATCGCTGCCTCATACATTCTGGCCAACGCCACTGATGTCACAGTTTTCCCTAAAAGAGTATTCATGATGATAAGCAATATTGATATCTAACTGTTACATGATGATAAGCAATATGATATCTAACTGTTACATGATGATAAGCAATATGATATCTAACTGTTACATGATGATAAGCAATATGATATCTAACTGTTACATGATGATAAGTAATATTGATATCTAACTGTTACATGATGATAAGTAATATTGATATCTAACTGTTACATGATGATAAGCAATATGATATCTAACTGTTACATGATGATAAGCAATATGATATCTAACTGTTACATGATGATAAGCAATATGATATCTAACTGTTACATGCGTCGGAACATTCTTTCATTGTGGAAATATGGCACAGCAGTTACTCTGGTTGTTGTGCACCTAATTTGTTTTTAACTTTGTAGGGTAACATTATGGAGTACCAATAACATATAACACACATGTTTTCCCGTGTATACATTTTAGTGATTGGTAATTTATATGACTGACATCGTACCGGACATGGGTGCACCATGGACAACGACCGCTATCCCCCTGCGATTGCGCGCTGCCGTTCCTTCTGGTGTCAAATCTATGCCCAGATGTCGGGCGATGGCAGCTGACACCGGTGTTATCTCTAGCTCACCAACTCCGAGAGCACTGGTAGATTGTGCTAAACAATAAAATCATATATGTGAGCAGTGTTCTATCAACAATGTTTCAGGTTTAAAAGAAAAAAACAAGTCAATGATATGATCATATCAAAGTACTTACCAGAGCCCAGTTGTTCAAAAGGTGATTAGCTTAAACAGTGATTAGCGCAAATTTTAATTTTTGTGTATCTTTAAAACACAACCATTGAATTAAGTAGAGTCAATTTACATACAAAATTACGAGTTTTTACCTTGTATAGTGACGAAATGATTAAATGTTGAAAAATGTCGTTAAACAGTGATTAAGTTAACCACCTTTTGAACAACTGGGCCCAGAAGGCAATTTCATTTCTTAAGATTAAAAAAATTAAATCAGGGGTACGCATGCAAAGTTTAAATTAATATAATTCCTTTTAGATTGATGCAAAAAATTCAATTTTATTTTTAGGAAATGTGGTATTGATTCATTTTTTTTAATATCTAAAAAAAAAAGTTATTAGATGGAAGATGATTTTTAAATGATTAAACCTATCACAGGCTTGCTACTAGATGATGTGGTGTATACAACACACCTTCACTGCCCTCCTCCTTCTTCAGTCTGTCCTCAATGTCAACAGGCTCTATGATAGATGGAGGGTGGGAGCCTGCAGCTGTGCCAAATGCTCCATCAGTCTTTATTTCTGACTCTTCCCCTCGCCCATCACCATCTCCACTCTCACCTAATGTCAAAACATCATCCACTTCATGACATTTTTATTTTTAAAAGAAACATGGCAATTTTTGTTTGTATAAGAAACATGATTTTTTTTGTTTGCAAAAGAAACATGGCAATTTTTGTTTGCAAAAGAAACATGGCAATTTTTGTTTGTAAAAGAAACATGACAATTTTTGTTTGTAAAAGAAACATGACAATTTTTGTTTGTAAAAGAAACATGGCAATTTTTGTTTGGATAAGAAACATGGCAATTTTTGTTTGGATAAGAAACATGGCATTTTTTGTTTGTAAAAGACACATGGCAATTTTTGTTTGTAAAAGAAACATGGCAATTTTTGTTTGTGTTTGTAAAAGAAACATGGCAATTTGCAACTGTCTTACTATATCTTTGACATGTATGACACACTCAACTGTCTTACTATATCTTTGACATGTATGACACACTCAACTGTCTTACTATATTTTTGACATGTATGACACACTCAACTGTCTTACTATATCTTTGACATGTATGACACACTCAACTGTCTTACTATATCTTTGACATGTATGACACACTCAACTGTCTTACTATATCTTTGACATGTATGACACACTCAACTGTCTTACTATATCTTTGACATGTATGACACACTCAACTGTCTTACTATATCTTTGACATGTATGACACACTCAACTGTCTTACTATATCTTTGACATGTATGACACACTCAACTGTCTTACTATATCTTTGACATGTATGACACACTCAACTGTCTTACTATATCTTTGACATGTATGACACACTCAACTGTCTTACTATATCTTTGACATGTATGACACACTCAACTGTCTTACTATATCTTTGACATGTATGACACACTCAACTGTCTTACTATATCTTTGACATGTATGACACACTCAACTGTCTTACTATATCTTTGACATGTATGACACACTCAACTGTCTTACTATATCTTTGACATGTATGACACACTCAACTGTCTTACTATATCTTTGACATGTATGACACACTCAACTGTCTTACTATATCTTTGACATGTATGACACACTCAACTGTCTTACTATATCTTTGACATGTATGACACACTCAACTGTCTTACTTTATCTTTGACATGTATGACACACTCAACTGAACTTACTTAGAACCTATGTACCACACCTTTTTATATCAATGACTTGGAGTATGGTTGCTAAGGGGACACCTACCATCTTTGTCCTCTTCCAGGCGAGCAGCTTCGGCTGCCACCTCCTCAGCCTCCCTCCTTACACGCTCTAGCTCCTCTAACTTCTTCATTTGTTCTATAACACAAAACACGTGCCATCTATCAGTTCAAATTGTATATCGATTGTTTTGATTGTTTACTCGTAAAAAAATCAAAGCCGTTAGAAACAACTGAACTTATAATATCATTATATCATTCCCTTTTCACTTTTTATTTTATTTTGACCAATCTCAACTTTCTAATTATAAATGTATAATCAGTTATAGAAATTATGTTTGTAATTAAGTATCACCATATAGCAGTTATATACACAACATACCATCATAATATTCCAAGAGTTCTTGTGGCAATTTCTCTGTTGGTCCACGAGGTGGAAGTAAGACTGTGTTCATCTCATCATAGCCTTTCATTAGACGCAGTATCTGTGGAAGTTACAGCTTTGTGTTTAACATTAAGCGTGTGACGGTATGATAACAGGGTCTGTTTTAGCTTTCTTTATATAACATTTTATTTCATAGTCCTGAGAATGCTTTACAGTCATTAAAAATATTATATTAATGTTCAACTGTAAATATAAGTGAACATTGAATCCCCTTTGCCCATGCATGTTCTAGACTAACATCATACAAACATTTGTTTGAAAAGGTAGACCCCTATTATAACATTCCTCCAGGGATAATGATAACAAACTATTTACAATATGACTTTTGAGTAAAATTAATGTAGCTCATCAAATCTACACACTTTGTGGCATCAGACCAAAGGTATTAGGGACAATACTGTACTTACCTTTTCTTCCTCTAGGTAGGTAGAATCAAACTCAAGATTGTAGAATTCAATAGGGAAGCTACACGGATTTCTAATCACGATGTCCTGCTCATCACCCATACTATGGGGGAGAATAGGACCAAACTCCACCATGTTTCTGTCAAAGTCCAAGTGTGGCTCTCGTCCTTGGCCACGACATAACAACAGTATTCGTTGGCTACTTTGGGCAATTCTTATGAGAATACGCTGCTCATAGTATTTCTGAAATAAAAAGGAACTATGTATAAAGGTCCAAGACCATATGCTAGAACATGAGTGTATTCTTCATCCTCAGCAATTTTGTATTTGGTTGGCGTGGGGATCTCAACTCATGCCTAACAATTGTATATTTGGTTATAGGGTGGGGATGAAATCCCTAAATTCATATTGAAGCCTAGGGAATTTATTGATTTACCTCTATTTCCCTTATTGGGCTACACCCCTCTTCCTTCTGGGGGGCCACCTACACTGCTTATATAAACTTCTGGGGGGCCACCTACACTGCTTGTATAAACTTCTGGGGGGCCACCTACACTGTTTATATAAACTTCTGGGGGGCCACCTACACTGCTTGTATAAACTTCTGGGGGCCCACCTACACTGTTTATATAAACTTATGGGGGGCCACCTACACTGGTTCTATAAACTTCTGGGGGGGCCCCCTACACTGCTTATATAAACTTCTGGCGGGCCACCTACACTGCTTATATAAACCTGAGTCCCACTTGCCAAAAGATCCTCATGACCAAATTTGGTTAAAATCCTCCATTCATTCAGTAATAGAAGGATTTTATACATCAAGCTCTATTTCCCCTATTGGGCCCAACTTGTGCCCCTAGGGGGCGTCATCTTTAATTCATACAAAATGTAGTTGTCTGTGCCTGCAGGTTCTCTTGAATTGAAAATTGGTTAAAATCCCACCCTTTATATCAAAGGACAAAGATTTTAAACAGTTTCCTTTATTTGCAAAATTGGGCTCACTCCTCTGCCCCAAGGGGGCCACACCCTCCATTAACATAAAGTTTAGTCCCAATGGCCGACAAATCATCTGTAACAAAATCGGTGATAATTCCTCCATTCACACGGAAGGAAAAGGTTTTTAAAAGATTAACCTCTTTTTCCCCTATTGAGCCCTGCCCCTTTGCCCCAATTGAGGGCAACATACTCTGTTTATCCAAAACTGAATCCCTTTTGCCCAAAGTTCCTCTAGAACAAGTTTGGTTGAAATCCTTTCACTGGTACAAAATATAAACACATAAATACCTCTTCTACTATCAAACATAAATACCTCTTCTACTATCAAACATAAATATCTCTTCTACTATCACATATAAATATCATATCTACTATCATATATAAATACCTTATCTACTATCACATATAAATACCATATCTACTATCACATATAAATACCTGATCTACTATCACATAGAAATACCCTATCTACTATCAAACATAAATACCAAATCTACTATCAAACATAAATCCCATATCTACTATCACATATAAATACCTTATCTACTATCACATATAAATACCATATCTACTATCACATATAAATACCTGATCTACTATCACATATAAATACCCTATCTACTATCAAACATAAATACCAAATCTACTATCAAACATAAATACCTTATCTACTATCACATATAAATACCTTATCTACTATCACATATAAATACCCTATCTACTATCAAACATAAATACCAAATCTACTATCACACATAAATACCTTATCTACTATCACATATAAATACCCTATCTACTATCAAACATAAATACCAAATCTACTATCAAACATAAATACCTTATCTACTATCACATATAAATACCTTATCTACTATCACATATAAATATCTCTTCTACTATCACATATAAATACCTTATCTACTATCAAATATAAATACCTTATCTACTATCACATATAAATACTTTATCTACTATCACA